CAAGGGGCCGCTAAGGGCGGCATCTACTGAAGGGGGCCTGGGAATGAACCTCGCCTAGGGCGCCATCTACTGAAGGGGGCCTGGGAATGAACCTCGCCTAGGGCGCCATCTACTGAAGGGGGCCTGGGAGTGAACCTCGCCTAGGGCGCCATCTACTGAAGGGGGCCTGGGAGTGAACCTTGCCTAGGGCACCATCTACTGAGTGCACTACATAGTGAGCCAGCCATTTTGTAGTGCTGTTCGAATTATCAACGGTAAATTTCATTACCTATATAGTGCACAACAAAATCATCACGAGGCACACCATTAGAAGGGTTAAGACACTCCATTGAGGTATTTCTGAATGCCCTGCTGGGATTTTCATGTACTACAGTGTCTGGGATTTACAGAGAATGACATTATAAGCAGGAATCAGAAAGAGGAAAATGACAGAAAGGATAAAATGACAAGGGTTAGAGCTGAGGACTGGAGTGATGTGCAGAGAGGCGTCTCCCAACGCAGAACCTGTCAGCCCAAGTCGGCTCCTACCTGCTGCTATATGGCAGAACTTAATAAAAGTGGCCAATCAGCGGATAAAGTGTGTTAGAGTTGATGCAATTTATGTGAAGTATACAGGCAAAAATATTAGATCTAAAATTGTGGAAAAAAAAAAAACAATTGATCTGTAACACTGGAAAATGCAAAATAAAAAGACACAGGTTCGCATGTGGAAAACAAGACTTATGTAAGTGGGGCAGTGGTCGTCTAAATAGCATTCACAGTTTGATATATACAATCCAACGAAATCAGGAAAAGCAAGCAAAGTGCCGACACTCAAAGACTTCCCTTGCATGAAAAGCAGAGTTTCCCTGCTTCTTATTCAAACATTTCTGGTCAAAATACAGCAGTTTTTAAACACATTGAATATTCACAATAAGTAAAACATCAGAAAACAATGAAAACAATTTAGACTAAAATGCTGATGCCGTATAACCTGTGACAATATGCTGCTCCTGGCACAGGATGTGTCCTTAATTATCATGGATCTGCGGCTTTGAAGGAAAGCCGGCCGGGTGAGGCGTGCCGACGGGCCCCAGTTTAAACATGCACCCCGCCTTTTCCAAGGGACTGATCTGTGAAGTATCTGTGTGCTAAAAGGCGCCCCGGGCCTGCTGTGTCACGCTCCAATACGACGCCGTTTGGGGCTTTGCAGACTCATAGAAAGGTTAGCTGAATACAGCCAGTGCCACACCACTGTAACAATTAATGTCATGACAATAATGCGCATTTATAATACCTACACATCTCCGGCCTTCACAGAACATTTTACACACTACCCTGAGAACAATCTGTACATTGCAGAAGGTCATACTATCGGTAACTAACAAGTACCTGCTATTTGATTATGTTTCACTGGCATGTGTCCAAACATGGGTCAGAATGTATCCAGACTGTAAAACTTCCTGTAATATGATTGCCCAAAAGAGCAGTAGCAAATATGGAGTAAACAGCCCAGGGCTATACCTAAGTACAGGTCTGTCTGGACTGTGACTCCTACACCAACATTGCTGAAGAAATGAAACTGTCCCCACGTCCAATGTGGGATGGTACCGCATGGCCAGCTTCATCTTCCTGCTGATTGAAACGGTCTGGTAGGTTGGGTTGTGACACGGGAATTCTGCTTGATGAATTACTTTGGTGGAATGGGTCGTCCAAGCCATTGCGGGCACCAGAATTACCATTGGGCACATTTTCATCATCATCATCATCGGCATCCAGGTTCTACAGAGAACATGAAGAAAAACAGCTGCTCAGAAGGACCAAGAGAAAAGCAGCTGGAGTGAAGACGAGGACACATCGAAGACCTGCATCAGTCTGGACAGGCTTACCGTGACGGGCTCATGGGAGGTGTCAAAGTAATCCAGAGGCTGAGACTCAACTCCATGGCTCTTGTTCAGCTGTGGGCACAGAGATACATGTCAAAGGCAGGATTAGGAAGAGTGACCACTAAATGGTCAGGCCAGGAAAAAAGCATAACTCACCATCTCAGTGGAGCCACCTGTCCTGGTGGGGGGAGGAGGCTTATATTTGGGGGGGCCACTATTTGACAGGGAGGGTTGACGGTTAGTCTCTGTGCATCACATTGGCGGAGCTTTCAAAAGAACCGAAGCGGCAGAAGCAGAGTGGGGACTTACTCTCCATTTTCAGAGCGGTTCCTCCTCCTGCAGTACAGCAGCAGCCCGGTGGCAATGAGAGCCGCCACAATAAGGATGCCGATGATGGCGCCGATGATGCTGCTGGTGGCACTGCTGCCCGGTGGAGGTTCAGCTAAGAAAACGGAAAAGCGGCCGTAAGTCACTTTACTCTGAAAAAGGCGTGTTCAGAGTTCCAAAAAAGTTTTTTGTACAATCTGCCGAAAATGATACAAAAGCACTTTGCAAGGGATAAACTGAACTGTGAAGAGGATTATAACCTAAAAACATCAACACTGAAGGAGACAGAGAATCTCAGGGTTACACTCAGTCACTGGCAGCCACCAGGTGGCGCTCTGGTGCAGCATTAAGCAGACCAGACTGGCTGAATGCGCGGGCATGTCTGACACAGGTTAAGCGGCTGCAGTCAGAGTTTGCATGTGCCAGACATTAGACTGCAGTGTGCAGAGGTATTATTAACCTGTACACCAGCACTCGGTACGGCCAACATTGCCAGTGATCTTAAAATGCAAAAACCTGTGCAGCACATTTTCTCCCTCAGTGCACTCATTCCTAAGCAACTAACCTCTACTCTGCCTAAGCGCAGCCCGTTCCGGCTTGGGCCAAACTCCAGTCATTTCACACAATCCTCGGTTTTATTCTGCATGACATATTCATTATTCAGATTTCTGCTAACACTCTATTTGAGGCGCCTCTTAGTAACTCAGTTACTACTCCAGTACAAATCATGAGCAGATACTACTGCATTATTAGTGCCCCCTCAAGTAAAGTTAGATGTTTTGAACATCATGTCAAAAGATGAATAGATAAATTGTGTGTGTGGCTTCCAAGCCTCCTGAGTAAATATCTGTAAATACCATCACTTGTTTCTAAGGGTTGTCAACAAGCACAGCACAAATATATAATAAAAAAGCGTGGGCTTTTCAGTGAGGTGGGACTGTGAGGCCCAGGAAACAAGTGATCAGTGCTTCATCAGCGCAATACTGAGAGCGCTAAGCCCTCCCCCACCGCCCTACGCGTCCAGCTCTACACGTCCAGCTCTACACGCACTCAACAGAAGCTACTGCACTATGCAAACACAGGCCAGAGAGACAGGGGACAACATCAAGGGCAGATTTTTAAAACGTAATAAAAATAACACAAAACAGCTCGATTATCTTTCCAATTTTGAGAGCAGGGTTCGACTCCATAGGCGTGGAGCTTGCATGTTTTCCCCGTGTCATCGTGGATATCGTCGTATCACAGGCGAGCACAGAGAGGCCCTTTCTGAATGTGAGCACTGTGGATGACAGAGGCTTTAGCACAGCACTGCAGTAATCAGACGGTCCTGCTCTGCGGCCCATCTCACATCCTCAGGCATCCATTCAGGAAGCAAACTGCCGCAGAACTCAAGAGGTGCTGATGTGGAATTTCAGCAGTAAGTCGTGCCCTCGGTCAGCTAAATGACCTATAGCCAGACCACCGTCTCAGGCTGCTGCCATGGCAACAGGACCGCACCCAGAAGGAGCTACCAAAACCGGCTGCAAACATCAATGTACAGCATCAGCTGTTCTAATAGAACCAGCACTTCACTTTCTCTTGTGCTCAGTCTTAAATTAAACCCCAGCCACACCCAAGCGCCCCCCCCCCCTTCACAGCCCAGCCTTTCCGTTAGACATCCGCAAAACACATTAAGGATGGCAAAAGCCATTATCAGGAATTACAGAGCATTAACAGGAAGAGTACTCTCAGCATATGTGGAACAAAAAGAAAAATATTACGCTCACCGATGGACAATTCCAGAACATGTAAATTGTTATACAATTCACACTTAAAAACACCTGACAATGACTGCGAATTTTAATATCCTTTTCTCAAGGGACTTCTCTGAAACATCTCATCAACCAAACTCACGATTTTGCGTTTTGACAGGCAATCAGCCCTAACTAGTTTAGGAATGATCCATGTACCATATGGATGTGAAATACACCCTCAGTGTTTCTCACATACATTTACACACAGACACACACACAGCTGGGCACCTGGGGACCTCATTAAATGCTCATCAAGGGCCATTTAAACATGCAGGTCCTAGTAACAGAGAATAGACACAGATGTTAGTTGATATGACCCACTGATACTCAGACTGAAATCATCTGCTAGTGGGCAGGCGAGCTGCTAAGGTATGAGGATGAGATGCAGTGTGATTGAGTGCCGCACACAGTGGCTGTTTTGCAAGCAGCCCAGACACACAAGACAGACAGGACCAGACAAGTTTACTTCCTCATGGACACGATCCAGTAGTGAAACGCACACAAACCGGTCGGGCTACCAGGCACAGCAGGTTTTCCAAGACACACCAACTTTAGGAATGCACAAATATTTTTCTTCTTTTTAACAGGAAGCAGACAATAGTTTCAGTTGTAAAGAAATGACACATTCCTGACAAGAAAGCAGACACTGACGAAGCAGCTGTGGTTTGGTCGCATGGGCAGAGACAGTGAATGACCAGTAACTAACAAGCCACCTGCACCCCTCCGTCATTCTGGGATGCACTTGCGGTGCAGTGTCATCGCATACAAAATTAGGCATGAAATCCAGCCTACAAGGCCACAGTTAATGTTGCGCAGTGTGAAAGTGACACATGAAAAGTGGCCAGGAACTACAAAAGTTCCCACTGGAGAACTTGAAACCAGGAACCAGGTTCCTGAACTTCAGTGTGAAAGCACCTATGGTGACTCAGGCTCTGCAGCGAACAGGACATGAGCAGAACACAAACATCTGCACAAGTCTACAAAAGTGCACTTAACCTTAACTTTTAAAACAATTAAATCGCTCAAATGAGTGACTGAACATATAAGGACTGTCAAAGAACCAAAATAAAAACTGCAGGCTGTTTAGGACAGAGAGGAGATCTCCTCGCCAAACAGCACAGGACCGGCGTAGTGACCCCTGTCACATTCAGCCATCAGCGACTGGCCTGATGTGGATCTCCCTGTGTGAACAAGCCAAGAAGACGGACGCGCTGCGGACTCCGCACAGCCGCACCACGCACAGCAAAGTGCATGGCTGTGTTACACAGAGAATCAGCAGCATCCTGAAAGCCATTTCCTGGGGAGTGAATAGCTCATAGAATTTTCCTAGAACAAGTTAGACTGCCAGACCTAACAGTAAATCTGAATATTATCCTCACCCAAAATATATCTGGAATTTGCTTATTGGTAATAGGCTCATTTCCCTACAAGTGTTAAGAGGGAGGGAAGATCATGGCAAAACAGGTGAGGTTAGAGTTTCAGCTGCAAGAAACGCAGAAGAAAGAGCTGCACAGCTGCCCTTTCTGAAGCAATGGAAGAGGATAATATTTCCATGCCAAGAAGTTATATCCTTTTCAATAAATTATCATACAAAAGAAATTCTTCTGTATCAAAATGTATCAGAAGAGTAAAGCTGGTTGTTTAGGACTTTTCACAAAGTTAATGTTCTAAGTGAAGCAGTTTGGCTCAGGTTAGGCTGAACCACTTTAGGCACAAAAATTAACATTTTTAGATAAAATTAACTGAGTTATAAACAACTCAAACTGTATCTAGTGAAAACTCCTCTCTAAAGCTCACATATTCCATATGCATAAAGCTTATATATCCATTCTCCATATGGCATTCTCCAATGGTAGCACTGGGCAGGGCGACATGATGGACAAGGTGCCCCCCCCCCCCCCACACACACACACACACACACACACAGCTGGAGATCTGAGGCTATAGTGCCACCAGAAATGATAAAAATGACATTATACAAGTACAGCTGTAGACTGGCTGGTTTTCAGTCTGTCCACTCAGAAAATCCATTAGCTTCAGTATTCTGGACGTTCTTTCCATTTACTTTTGGATGGTGTCTCATTAAATATAATGTAAAACACTAAAGTCAATATTATATTTCATTAAAGCACATGATACATCTATCAAGACAATGCAAATGATTAATAATTATGCAAATAACTTCATATGAAGTATAAAAGTGTTCTTGATGCCTTTGAAGAAACGGCGTCATTACAGCTGCAGCTACTTAAAAATACATCAGTATCTACGTGACACTTTTAATAATGCTGCACAGAAAAAGCACATCAGGTAGGTGGGCAGCAATGCATTATGTTAGTCAAAGCGTCATGTAACAGGCAAGCGTGTGCTACAGCACGGCATGCAGCTTCACGTAACAGGCAAGCGTGTGCTACAGCGCAGCATGCAGCGTAACTCAAGCATGAGAAAGAATAGGGCAGGGAGTGTGTTCTTCTTGTAAGAACATCTGACTGCTGATAGATTTATCATCATCTCACAAGCCACATAAGGCAATGCGAGAAAGCCGAAATGGTCAGAGCAGGTACTGCATTTCAATGTAGGGAAACAAATCACGATGTGTAGCATCTCCGCGAAGTGCGTTTATGTACCTGCTAAGCAGGATTCTCGGCTAACTTTCTGCACTAAGAGTATCGTACCATTTATTTTGTGCCCACAACACGAGAGATTTCAAACACTGTGACGAGAGAGACCATGAGGAGAGCAGATATTTTACATGTCTGTTGCAGTTTTGAGCGGTTAGTTAATGGGAGATTGTGCAGATGATACCTCTAAACAGGCAAAGGTCAAATGACATTATAAAAGTTCAAAATGAAACTACCCACATGGCACATTATGGTGAACACAGCTCTTACTGACGGGGCTGACATTGCTCACACTGAGCAGTTGGCATGTGTAGGTGTGCCTGTAGAGAGGAGACGGCTTTGTCATGTTGAAAGACCGACACACTTTAGATGGCTCACCTGTCACCAATGTGGTGACCCTGTCCTGTCCGGATCCCAGCTGGTTCTTCGCCTCACACGCAAAGGTGGTGTTTATGCTCTCATCCACCTTCGGCACTGACAGCTTATTCCCATTAATTTGGGCTGTTTTTGGCATCTGGCCGGATGCACTGATTGGTAGAGGGAAGGTTAACAGAGGCGGTCAGTCTTAAGCAATGTGGGAAGCAGCACTGATCTGAGTTCAGCATTCTGGCCAGCAGCACCTTTTAAAGAAGGCTGGCCAGCTATCGAAGAGCTGAAACATCAGTGAACAAGCTGCCCAGTGCCTTTGATGCAAAATCACTTACACTGTCCACTCAAAGCTAGTCGGTGGTGGGTTTGCATTGGCCACGCAGGTCAGCTGAACATTGCTGCG